AGAGAGAGAGAGAGAGAGAGAGAGAGAGAGAGAGAGAGAGAGAGAGAGATGGAGGGAGACATTGAGGAGAGAAAAGGGATGAGAGACAGAGAGGGGGGGGGCAAAAAAGGGGAGAGAAAAGAGAGGGGGGAGGAGGTCTGTAGTATGTCTCCTCTCTCTGTAATCGTGTTAACTGGCGGCTCCAAGCCTGGCCTCTTCAGCTGTCACACACACACACACACACACACACACATATGCACACAGCACCTGTGTATGCCTGACAGACAGCTCATTCATCACAATTAACCAATTACAGCCTCCGCCGGTCTGTCTGAACCCGCCTACTGTGGGAGGGAGTGGAGGACAGCAAAAGAGAGGAAAAGGAGGAGAGTGCAAAACAGGAACATGCTGAAAAGAAAGAAAGAAAAGCAGCGTGGAGACAAGGCTGTGTGTGTATTTATGTCCATTGTGTATTAGCTGCATGTGTAATGTTTTCTGTGTGTGTGTGTGTGTGTTTACCTGAGGCCACAGTATTGATGGCCCCCTCCTGTCCGATGATGTGCTCCTTCAGCCTCCTCTCCAGGGGGAACCTCCGCCTCTCCTCCGCCTCCCGCCGAGCCTGCAACTCCTGGAACTAGATGGAGGTGAAGAACATGCAGGAAAGCAGACGAGACAGCCAATAAATCAGAAAGAGAAGGGAGGCACATTAACAATCAAAGAGGGAGAAAAAGAGAACAGCGAGGACATTGACGAGTTTACTCCTCTGTCTCTTTATCTTTCTCCCAACAAAAGGGTCGTGGTATTTTTCAGTCTCTCTACTGCTCCCAACTCCCTCCTCTTTAACACTCTCTACCTCTCTATCCATCTTTGCCTTCATTTCTCCGACACACGTTTCCTCTTTTCTGCTGATTTGATCGCTTCCCCCCCCCCCTCTTTCTTTCCACGTTTTATTTTAAGTTTCTTTCTTGCAGCCGCCCCATGACTCATCCATCCTCTCCTCTTTGTCCTCTCAGACTCCAGGTTTTCACCCTGCAGTGGAGGCAGCCTGTTTATTCTCTCTCTCCATCTTGCTTAGCTCTGGCCTGCTGTCAAGCCGCTAGATAACTACGGGTAACTCAAGTTTTATTTAGGAAAACAGCTGATCCCACCTCCACTACTATGGACCTGTGAAATACCAAGAGCGGAGCAGTGAGGAGTCCCCGCGCTCATCATTCAGTTAAAACTCCGGCCTCAAGATCACCCTCGGTTCCCAATTTACACAAAGTCACAAAGAAGAACTGATGTATTTTAGTGTACAGAGAGCATTCTTAGTGTATTGATGATGGTAATGCCCTTACATGTGCAAACAGTACTGCATCTCGATATCAGTTCACCTTATCCAACTGATATGTATTTTAGGGATAAATACATTATTTCATATATATATTTCAGACCAAATATCTTGATATCACTAATGTGCAATAGTTTGGAGATGACTCCTACAATATTTTAAGACATTTGACTGTTTGTGCGTCACATCGAGTCCCATATAACAATATGAATACAAAGTCGATGTGTAATCCCACTTTTCTTCAGCACGTTTTTAACCCCAGTTAACCTCGAGCAGCTTCCACCACTCAATAGCACCCGTCACTCAGTCAGCAGACTGACACGGACCTCCTGAGGAGAGTGTGTCTGTGTGCATGAAGGCGGGTCAATCACGCAGATGTCTACTGAGGGAATAGTGCCGAGTCAGTCACACACAGAACGGCTACGGTATCAAAACATTTGTGCGCATGGAAACTAACGATGTACTAATCGCTTGCTCATCCTGCGCAGCTTGTACAGAAGAATAAAAATGAACAGCTCGTGCCTGTATGAGTGCGTCATACCTTCCCCTCAAACTCCTGCAGTACTTTGCTCGCCTCCCCCTCTTTAGCATAGGCCCGGGCTGTGTGTCCCAAACCATTGGTCTGCAGGGGGTTGGCACCTGTATGCAAGCATGCAACACACACACACACACACACACACACATTAGGAAAGAAATCATTGTAGCTACACAAAAAAATGGTTTGAAACTTACAACAGGATGACAAAAATCTTCTCTTTTTTAGAAAATTGTATCTTTTGTGCTACAAAAAGTGCTACTATAGCACGCACACACCACCTCAGCAGGAGGGTCAACACGTCGATGGATAGAATGAGGTTAGGGTGAGAGGTCACATGGGTTCAGGGGTCACCGAGACCGACTGCAGAGAAGCAGGAGCGCGATGCAATGACCCTGTAGGGGGTTTCATATCTGCAACGCGTGCCAATAACACATGCTTTGTCCCCCCTACACCCGCACACCAACACCCCGGATACACTCTGCAGGTTGTTGCAGGTCGGGGGCCGTTGAGGCACACAAGCACACACACACTTCACACAGCTGGAGGGGTCAAACGGAGGAAAAACTTTGTTCAACAGATCTTTATGGTATAAATGAGGAAGAGCCATATTGTCACAGCACGTGTGAAGTGGTCCCGGGACTTGTCAGCGAGGATGGTTAGCGGTGGCTTCTGCCCTGACCTACGCCACACGTGCCTCTACACGAACTAGTGAATGTTTCCATCGCACCAGCTACACCCAAGACACAATCTAAATACAATAGATAATGGGATAAAACACTAGACACACTTGTGTGAAGCTTAGGTAAACTGTAGATGCTCAACAGTTAACACAGGCCCACTTCCAGGCCATGGCTTCAAACCTCGAGACTTTTCTAGTAGCGACCAAAATGCATCCACAGCACAAACGATCAAAGACTCTCATGTACTGAAAGTGGAGAGCATCTTTGTTTAATGAACAGAAGTTTTCTGTGCTCTTTGGTCGTCTCCTCTTCCCCGTGTGCTGCTGCGGCTCATTGTGTTTTGCTGCGTTGCTTTTCCTTTTTACGGACTTCCTGTAGTTGGTCCGAAAGTTCAAACCATCCCAAAAAAAATAATAGTAATTTGATGTGGACCAAGATCTTTTCTTCGAACCAAAAAATCGTCTGTTTGGTTCAAGGGACACCAAACAACACGGCTGTGAAAGGGTCTTAAGACACTACTGACACATTGGAGAAAAACTGTGTAAATCCATTGAAATGTCTTTGTTAAGAGAATATTCAAATAAATCACTGACAAATTGTGACAATACTCCTTGAAGGTATATTAAATTTGGGTCTACTCAGAGTATATTAAGGTCACCGCTGCATCCTTTCAGCTGATGAGGGAAGATATTTGTACCAAACCTGAAAGTGATGCATAAACCCCCGTTAATGACCACTGTGGTGAAGGTTCAGGTTGTTAAATGCTGCATTGAGAACCAGATGACCCATCTGAAGTTTTTCCTGAGTGAGCTACAGACAGGAGGACCGTAACAGAGTGTGTAATCATTACAGGTGCTGGATGATCCTATTGCTCTGAGCACCGACCGCAGAGACTAATAATCACTGTGATGATTATCGATAAACCCTTAAATTGTGCGACCTGCTCACGAAGCTATCGATCCCGACAGCTATACAACACTACCCCCCCCCCACAAAAACATGAGGGAGGAAAGCAATAAAGAACCCCCCCACACACACACACACACACACACACACACACACAGACACTGGACATAATAAATAGCATCATTTAGGGCTTTAATATCAGGCCAACCCTCTGGGCCATAGCACTTTATAACAGGATCAACACTAACACACACACCCAGCTGAACATTCACACGCACACACACACACACACACACACACTCTCTCGCATACACAGGATCCCTTCATTAGGAGTGCTTTAGTTATGCCTATTAGGAGTCCCCTCCTCTTTCCTATTTCCTCCTCCCTCTCTTTCACTGCAGCTGGTGGGAGAGAGCCCCTGCTGGTCTTTGTGTGTGTGTGTGTGTGTCCTTGTATCTGCATTGTGTGCGTCTGTGAGCATGTGTGTCTCTTCTGGCCTCCTACCACCTACAGAGCTGTCCATTACCGAGTGCCTGTGGCCACGGGCCTGATGTGGAGCCCGGGGAGGAGCTAGAGAGCCTCCGCAGGTATGGGTGAGGGACTGCGGGGCGAGGAGAGGCCCGAGGGTGGGCCAGGAGACTGTGATGGATGGAGATGCGAGTCTGGGGCCGGCTAAGGCCAAAAGAGCAAACCCGCGGCTGGTAGAGTAACATGGACGCACACAAACACAAGGGAAATAACAAAAGTATGGGACACACGCAACTCCGTACAGATCCACGCGCACTGGGCACATACATGAAGGGAAGATGACGCTCAATCAGAGGACGGACACGCACACACACACACACACACACACACACACACACACACACACAAACCCAAATCCACACAGATGTCCTGAAGCTGTGGCAGTTTATAAGGTTTTTTTGTGATGTAAAAATAAGATTGATTGGAGGCGACAAAGAGGAATTGGATATTAAAGAAGTAAAAGACGGTACAAGTGACACAAGCTTTGTCAAGAATAATCAAACGCATAAAAAACATGTCACAAGTGCACATGGACAGCAATGTGTTGGTGATTGAGAGTGTGTGACGTCGTGAGTGTTATTGGCTGTGACGGTGGCGCCAAACCGGCAACGACCCAGTCGGGCGAGCAAAGAAAAACAAAAAAAAATGCCCCGTCTTTAATCTGATTGACTTAAAACAAATGTCCCTGCTTTGTGAAATTTCTTACCTTTTTAATTCAAAAATGCGTCTGCAGAACATTTGATTGAGTTAGACGAAGTGATTTGTTTAAGCCTACAGAGTGCTTACTGATGCTGGGGTGCGACGGGAGAGACGGGCAGACGGAGCTTCGGATGCACCATCCATCATAAACATAAACAAGACATTAAGGCCAGCTTGTGTGTGCTTGTGCGGAGTGACGGAGGTTGGGGTGTTTGATCTAAATAAATGGAAAAATGTTTTTGTTTTTTTAGATTAAAAACATATCGGCCTAAAACCCAACAACTACAAATGTGTGTGTGCAAAGTTAAACATAACAAAAGGATAAAACAAAATAATGAATATATGAATATTTTACATCATGAAATAAAGAAAAGCACAGAGGCACTCACAAAGACATGCATGTACAAATACACACTCACAAAGACACGTACGTACAAATACACA